CTTCATTCTCAGGCAGTTATAGTCTGCGTGGTAGCAAAATCTTCACATTCACATCCTCACAGCTCCAAATCCAGTGGGAAAGTGCTCCTATTCACTCTAACAAAAGTCCCAAGATTCACCCGTATCGGAACTAGTTCGGTCAACGCTTCTTTCGCTGTGGCTAGGGGAATGTGATGTGCTGATTGGCCAAGTTTGAATCAGAGGTATACCTCCTGGAGCTCACAGTTAAGCCCCTCTGCAAACCATGTGTTTTGAGATCGGAGAAATTGTGGTTCCCTGAAGGAGAACTTGGGGGGTTGCCAAAAGAGGGGTAAGTGGATACTGAGTGGACAAAAGCACCATCTGTCCACTTCAGTCTCCAACAGCTCACAGAAAAAAAGCTCAGCAATGAGGCCTTTGAGGCAGAATAAACTGCATTAACTAGGTGCTGGTTCTCACTAGGTCTCTGGAACATTGACATAGATTTCAGCCACATACAGACAGGACGAGAGCCGGAACACTTGGATGACGGACATGAAGGGTGCTCTCACAGCCTCCCAACCACTCTGGCACAGCGGACCCCATTTGTAATTCATCAGGCTACTCCCCTTGGCTTCCTCAAGCTGTTTTTCTCCCTCTGATATAAAAATAACGCTTAAACAGGATCCCGACCCCATGTCCCAGGCAAATCAGCTATCCAGATATGGCAGCCAAATTCACCCTAGGGTCAGGGTGCAAGTCCTTATTACACCCAGTTTTGAGAGCGAACCAAGAAATAGGGTTTCAAGAAATATGATACCATGACCAGAGACTAAAAGCAAACATCCAAGGAGTATTTATTTCCCAGCCAAAGCCAGTATCTTCTGCTGATTCGTCCTGCCAATGATAATGGGTAGGGCTCGCCTGGCCACAGGAGCAGGTGTGGGAGCTCTGAGAGGCAAAGGGCAGGGTCAGGGCAAGGCAGGGCAGGGAGCTCTTTTTTTTTTTTTTTCAACTGGAAGATCGCTAGGGTTGTAGTGTTGAGCAGTGCTGGGTCTGCCCCAGCTGAAGCCCTCCTCCGTGCCATCCTTGATGACACCATCCCATGGTGACGGTCAGAGCGTCCCGTGCCTGCCTGCCTTCAGAGCCTTGTAGCCAGAGGTCTAGGGGGACTGAAAGCAGGTGGCGAGGCAATAATTATAGTAACCACTTACTGAGCATCTATTACATGACAGGCTTGTGCTTCATTTACAGTAAACTTGGTGCTTAAGAGTGTGGGGCCAGAGCCCAGAAACGCTGGTTTTGACTTTGACTCTCAGCTCCATCTCACCTGCTTTGAGGTTTCGATCAAGTTAACCTCCTTATGTCTCAATTTTCCCCATCTGTAAATTTTTTTGTAAAAACTTTCTTTCTTTTAATGTTTATTTATTTTTGAGAGAGAGAGAGAGAGACAGAGACAGAGCATGAGCAGGGGAGGAAGAGAGAGAGAGAGAGAGGGAGACAGAGGATCCGAAGCGGGCTCCATGACAACAGCAGAGAGCCTGACACAGGGGCTCGAACCCACGAACCATGAGATCACAACCTGAGCCAAATTTGGATGCTCAACCGGCTAAGCCACCCAGCAGCCCCTCTCATCTGTAGAATTTTAATAAGGAGTATATAACAACATTCATAGATATTAAATATTTACCACTTAAGTAAAAATACATAATAATATTTACCACACAGGGTTGCGAGCGATTACAAGAGATACTGCACCCAATGTGGTTTGCTGCGTAATTGTGAAGGATCATTATATATATTGGAATTTCTAACCCTACCCTGATCCTGCAGTGTAATGCATTAGCTAGGGAGAGGAGAGGTTTGGTTGCTGTAGCAAAGGTTTGACATGTCAGTGGTTTAAGCAAGACGGAAGTTAATTTCTTTTTATAACCTAACAGTCCAGAGGAAGGTCGCACGGGGATGGGAGAGGTTCTACCATTTCCAACCTGCATCTTCCACCATGGGGTTCAAATAGCTGCTCCAGCTCTGACCTTCTTATCAGAATTCCAGTCAATAGGAAGGAGAAAATCTGCCCCTTCTTTCTAAGGTCATTCTGAAAGTTTGCATACAATGCTGATGCTCAGATCCCCTAGCCAAGCTTTGTAACGCGGCCATACTATCTGCAAAGGAAGCTGGGAAATATAACGTTACACTTAGCTAAAATTGTGGGGATCACTCATAGAGGAAAAAGAAGGAGAGAATAGATATTGCTCTGCCAGAGCCCACCATCTGGCCACCCTGAGCAGAGAACACATTCAGCAGCCTTCGAAGGGAGGCATCCGGGCACCACACCAGCTCCGAAAAATGAGGCGTGGATGGGATCCCATGGTCCCGTGACTTGTAAACTAAAAGGCAAGTAATCTGCTCCTCCCACTCCCCACAGACAACAGCGGAGGAGGAACAGGATAAACCCAATTAAAACATCCCCTCAGAACAGGAGTCCCCGGATCTTATCAATTACCAAATCTAGTTGGGCTGGAATTGCAAAGCAGCTCCCCCCACAGAGGAGTAAGTTCTTGGGCAATGCAACTGGCTGCCACTCGTTCTGCTGAGAAGACCTCCCCTTTCTCTTGTCCTGTGTGGCCTCTGGTGCTGCATCCTGGGAAGTTCTCCCTTACACAGCACCCTCCACGGCTGCACTGGAAAACATGTCTCTGCAGACCTTACAGCTTCCACAGACCTCTTCCTGCTGGCGCAGGTCTGAGGGGGGCTGGGGGTCACGGCGGGGGGGGGCGGTCAAACCAGCTTTTGGTGACCAAACTTATCGTTTCTCGGCCAATGCAACAGCCTCGAAATCTTAAAAGCCTTCTGACTGGTTCCACATTTGAGTAACCACAGCCAATGCTCTCATAGAGACACAATTTCTATGGTATACTTTCTATTCTCTCTCAAACTGCTGGTGGCTCTCTTGAAGTCATCTGAAAAAAAGATGTCTGGCTGTAAAGAGGGCCTCCCTTGTTCTGCCTACGAGGCCAGCTCCCACTGTTTGCTGAACAGAGTGCTTGAGAGAGGTTTGGAACTCCCGGCACAACCTTTGTTAAGTCTGCCTCCTCCGAACCACCACTTACAACTAGCCTGAGCTCATCCCTCTTGTAGGTCTTCGCTGACAATAGTCAACAACTGCCAATACTCACCAACAGTCTTGTTTCCATCCCGTTTCTGTGACTTATAGGCTCTGTTAGCACGTGATTGACCTTCCAAAGCATTACAGATGACTGCCACACCACAGGGTTTGCTGTCACATAACAATGGTCACCACCTTACCAGCAAACAATACTTTTCTTTGCTATCTGCTCCCCAGTCTTTAAACCAACGCCACTTGTTTTAGACTGTTAGAGCAGTGCCACTTACAGACGCCAAATTCTGCATTCCTTAGGATGCCTCTTTGGTTGCTTTACCAAAGACACGACTTAAAAATGACTTAAATAGGAAAATTTATTTCTCTCTCATATCATAGTCTGTAAGACGGTCTACAGCTGGTAGGGTGACTTTGAAACCCTTAACAAGCATCTTCCATTTTGGGTGCAAGATAGCTGCTCTAGCTCCTGCCATCGCAGGAGCATTCCAGCCAGCAGAAGGGGAAAAGGAAAAGGAGAACCCACCCCTCTTTTGTTGAAGGCCTGACCTGGAAGTTGCCCAAATCCCCTCCACTCACATCCCTTTGGTCAAATTTAGTCACAAGGCCTCATTTGGCTTCGATTAGAAGATTGGGAATCTGAGTATTTATTATACGCAGCCGCTTCAGCTGAAATTCAAGTGATTCTACTACTAAAATAAGAAGAGAAAAATAGATATTGGGAGGCGACTGGCAGTTTGCCCCAGAATGTTTCCATCCTTATTTTACATCGGTAGAATCAGCCTCGGAGAAAACAAGCAGTGCTTTTTAAGGTCATGTGGCAAACTAACAGCAGAGTGTGAATTTTAATCAGGTCCGTCTGACCATAAAACACGCCTTCCATGACACGCAGCCAACATATTTTGGTCATCAAAGTGCCCACTGTTTACTTGGAGATAAAGGATATTCACACGTGAATAGTTACGTAAATGTCCGCTCCGTGCACACTGAGATATGCACACAGATCCTGAGCTATAAGGGCACCAGTGCAAGGGACAATGATGCCATCAGGGAAGACTTTTCTTTTTTTTAACCATTTTTAAGCTTATTTATTTATTTTGAGGTGGGGGCAGAAAGGGGGAGGGGAGAGGGAGAATCCCAAGTAGGCTCCTCACTGTCAGCGGGGAGCCTTATGCAGAGCTTGAACTAACAAACCATGAGATCATGACCTGAGCAGAAATCAAGAGTCAGATACTTAACCAACCGAGCCCCCCAAACCCCCCAGGAAAGACTTTCTTGAAGAAGAGGCGCTCCTACTGGCCCTGCAGGTGGAACAGGCCCGAGGCAGAGGGGAGAATGGAGTATGGCAGGAGAAGGCAGTGGTGTGAGCTGCACCTGTTCTGTATCTGGCCTGCTTGTGAAGGTGGCCCAGAGCTTAAGGGTGGGGGAGGTAGACACATCACATATCTCCAAAGATGGTCCACTTGACCTTTCCACCAGGTGAAGTGTCCCACTAGCTGTACCTTAGACGTTCCATCAGCTGGGACAAGACAAGAACATCCCGCCGAAGAAGAGCTGTGCTCACCCCTGGTACTACGTAAGACACATGGAAAGGCAGAGTCCCTTCCCCGATCTGTTCTCTTCCACCCTCCCTGTAGGCAGTGCAGGGGCTTTGAGGGGTGATGAGAAATGTGTTCAATACATTCAGCAAAAAATCCAGTAACCCATTACTGAGTGTCCACTCCAGGGCCAGAGACTGGGATGGAAGAGGCTGGAAGGAGGGGCAGAGAGAGGGGAGCTAGGGCAGCTGGGTCAGCATTCCCGATTTGGACGCTGACTCAGGCCCCAGGAATGCCAAGGAAGGGGGGTGGGCAGCCACCAGAGCCGGGCTGGGATCCTGTTGGCACCAGGAGATGTAGGGACAGCGGGCACAGAGGGATGTTGGGACGGGGGCTCCCACACACTGGGACCCACCTCCAAACCACTGGTAGAAACAGAGGTCTCTCACTCTGGGCCCTCCAGCCCACCGCACACCTTCACGGTGATTCTAGCTCCCCACCTGCCCCGCCCATCCCACTCCAGCTCCCCCAGCAGAGAGAGGGACAGGCTCCTGGGACTCAAATGAGGACATTTGGGCATACAATGCCCGCTCTCCCGCGACCGCCCACAAACCCCTTGTCCCCAGCCTCCCTGCTGGCTCCAACTTGCCTTTTCTAACTTCAGCACCTCCCACGACTGAAGTGTGTACAAGGAAGACAGTCAAGCTCTACCTGCGTCCATTTTCCCTCCTTTGGCGCCTGACAACGATGAGAAGGAACCCAGGACTCTGAGAGCCCACTTCCTCCCACCTGGCGCCCCCGCAGCGCTCCAAGCCACCTCCCTCCATCGCAAAGTCCTTCGGGCTTGTCCTTGGAGACCCAGGAGGGAGCCCGGGCCCAGGCCTCCAGATTCCAGGTGCGCCCCTTCCCTCCCCACCCTGCCCCAGGCGGCTGGGCGAGAGCAGCTGAGCCCGAGGAGCCCTCCCTCCCGCTGCCTGACACCCAATCAGAGAGAAACCGATCCGGGGAGGGCAGGGCGCCAGGGGCCGGGCCCAGAATAGTGCTGCCCAGCCTGTGTTGCGCACTTGCTCTCGGTTGGTCCGGGGTTGGCCGCATGGAGCACGCACTGCGCCGGGTACAGGGGTCCCGGGGGACGGGAGTTGGGGCAGCCGAGGCCAGGGGATTGCGAGCACACCACACCCTGTGAACGAGTGTGAATGAGTGTGTGTGCGTGTGCGCATGAGCCTGTGGGTGCCTGTGAACACGTGTGCGCGCGCGTGTGTGTGTTCTTTGTGTCAGCGACGTATGTGGTGCCCTGCATGCCTGGGAATGGTTGGATGTGTTTTTCCGAGTGTGTCTAAGTGTTGGTGTATGGGTGTGTTTGCGGGGGTGCACCTGTGCGTGCATGCGTGTGCGTGCTTGCACGCGCACACGTGGTGGGAAAGGAAGCTACCCATGGGTCCGGGGATGCAGGGCGTTTCCCCACCCCTTCAGACATTCTTCTCCTCACAGAACCCATCCTGGAGCAGCCTTGGGGGACCTGAGCGTCAAGGTAGGCGGGGCTGCCTTCTCAAGGGCGTAGCCTCTCCTCCTACTTCGTTTGTCTCCCTCCTCTCTGGGCCCCCAGTCTCCACTCTGCTAGCCTGGCTTTTCTCTCTGTCTCTCCTTTTCCTTCTTTGTTCCTCTGTTTCTTTTTTTCCTCACCCCCTCTTTCCTCTTTCAGAGGAAGTAGGGGGAATCTAGAGTCGGAAGACTCCGAACCTAGTTCTGTTAGCACTTAGTAAATAGCTGTGTGAATTGTGGTGAATTGCCCCACCTCTCTGATCTCAGGTCCCGCTTTAGTAAAATAAGGATGATAATAACATCTCCCTTATAAGATTGCTATGAGGTTTGAGTGAGAAATATATTGGAGGAGAACCCTTGGGAAGCTTGCAAATGTGAAGTATTATTATTAATAACATTTTAATTGATTTTGTTGTGTTACTCCCCATTAACCAAACAGGCCCCATTCCCCCTTCCAGAGATGAGCTGTCTAGAACAAGGAGAGAACACTTCATGGCCATCGCCGGCCATGACCGCAGGCTCAGAAAGAAGCCATGAGAAACAGGGGGCCAAGGCCTCCAGGTGGACAAGGCAGGAGGCTGTGGCGGAAGGGGAGCTGCCGGGTCTGGGGGAAGGTGAGGCCAAGGCCAGTTCTGGGGAGATGGGAGCGGGGGCAGTGGGACATCCCGGAGCCTGGGGCTGGGGCTCAGCTCTGGATCCTTCCAGAGCACAGAGTTGGCCCCAGCCCTCATCTTGTAGTCTGTCTCTTCACATGGGAAAAGTCACCTGCACAGCAGAGCCAGGGGCCTGGCACGGCCAACTCAGGACAGAGCCACTGTCTTGTGTGACTCTGAGACTCAGCTTTCTCACCTGCAAAATGGGGCCACAGCACCCAGGCTTCCCAAGGCTGCTGTGAGGATGAACAGAGCCAGCGGATGAGAAAGGTCTCTAGAAGACGGATTTACTGTCCTCTCCCCACCAACAGATCCCCAGGCCAAGCCACCTGCTGAGTACGCCGGACTGGAGGCCACGTTCCCCAAGGCCACACACGTGTCCCAGGCTGCTCCTTTGGCCAAAGTGGACGCCCCACCAACAGAGTGGGACATCTTCCCCCCTAACCACGAAGCCTCGGCCGCTGGCTCCAGCACAGATGAGCTGGAGCTGGACATAGGGTTCCCGGCCACAGCATCGTGGGGGTATGAGCTCGGCCTGGTGGAAGAGAGGCCTGCCCTGTGCCCGTCCCCACGGGCCCTGTTACCCAGGCTGGGCTGGGACGACGAACTGCAGAAGCCGGGGGCCCAGATCTACATGCACTTCATGCAGGAGCACACCTGCTACGACGCCATGGCAACCAGTTCCAAGCTGGTCATCTTCGACACCACGCTGGAGGTGAGGCCGTGGCTCTGCCCCACCTCTGTTCTCATGGGGCTGTAGCCTCCACTCACCCGCTCCAGGGCCCCCCCCCGCGAGTCCCTTTCCAGAGCTCCTTCTTAGCACCATGGAGACCAGTGCTGGGGAGGACCCCTACTCCCCAGTTGTCATCCCAGCTCTGCCATTGAGTATGTGTAGGCTTTGGCATCAGTCACCGCTCTCATCTCTAAAATGGGAATGGGGGCCCCTGGCTGGTTCAGTCAGAAGAGTATACAGCTCTTGATCTTGGGGTCATAAGTTTGAGCCCCGTGTTGGGTGTAGAGATTACTAAAAAAATAAATAAATAAAAGTAAAAAATGACATAAAATGGGGACAGGAAATGCCTGCTTTGCCCTCCAAGTTTCAGAGGACTCCTGGAATAACCCGGGTCAAGTGGGAGCACTTTGTGAACCCCTAAGTATGGGGAAGACCTTGCAGGCTGGCTTAGGACAAACAGCAGGGAGCTCTCAGTAAGAGAAAAATAGGATGGGTTCTAGCCCCTGCTCTTCCCTTGGGCTAAGCTATAGAACGCCTGCTTCCACTTTTACCATCACGTATAGCGGAGCAGTGTTTCCAGAAGCACGGCGATAGTATTACTTAGGGTGAAGCCAAATGAGTCAACGTCAAATTTATTTAGAGAAATCTATTTTGTAGATGCTACGCGAATAAGCGTACCTCCAGCACGTAGATTAGCGAAAACTATACTGTGTGTGACTGTACGCATGTAGCACCCGAGTAGAAACCCCGAGTGAGTTTGTCACACCCTGATGTGCCAGGTGAAGGCGTCACCACAGTGCCTCCGGCCACCAGCAGCCTCATCTCTGCAGCAATTGTGCCTGGCAAAGAGCGTGCCAGTGTGTGCCATGGCCTAGGACGGGCAGTCAAGCTCATGCAGAGGAGATCTCGGGAGAAGGCCCCGGGGGAGGACCCTGGTTGGGACAGGGTACCAGTGATGGGCAGTGAGAGACTCACCCCTCGGTGTTCTCTCTGGCCCTCAGATCAAGAAGGCCTTCTTTGCCCTAGTGGCCAACGGCATCCGGGCGGCACCGCTGTGGGACAGCAAGAAGCAGAGCTTCGTGGGTGAGGAGGGGCTGGGAGGCAGAGGGAAGAGAGAGATCTTCGAGGGGATTCCGGGGCTGAGCTCCGACACGCCACGGGTTCGGGCAGACCCTTGGCGTGAGCCAAGCCGGGGGCTGGCGTGGGGGACATCCGATCCCGGCCTCGTGGTGGCCAGCTGGGAGACCCCATGAGTGGAGGAGGTTTGACCAGCTGACCACTCCAGCTCTACTCACCCATGGTCCCGTGTCATAGGTGCTAGATAAGAAAAGAGGAAAGGGAGAGGAAGGAATTAGGAGACTAGGAAAGGGTGCAGCGGGGGCGGGGAGAGAAATTACAGGGGAAGCACAAAAGGCGGGGGAGGGGCTGCCCCGCTTCCCTCTGTCCACAGTTCCCACAGCTGTCTCAGACCTAGGACTCTGGCAGAGCCCGGAAGGGGGTCTGACCCCTCAACCTGCCTCCCACCACGAGGCCCCAGGCTGACCCCCTGCCCTTCCCCCCTAACCCCGCAGGGATGCTGACCATCACAGACTTCATCTTGGTGCTGCATCGCTATTACAGGTCCCCGCTGGTGAGGAGTGGGCTGGGGACCCCAGGGGCTCCCATCTGGGCTGGGGCGGAGGGTGGCTCAGGGAGCCTGGTGCCCGAGGGGCCCGTGTCTGACTTCCGGAGTCCTGTCAACGTGTCTAGGTCCAGATCTATGAGATTGAAGAACATAAGATTGAGACCTGGAGAGGTGAGCTGGCGGAAGGGACCTGGAAGGGGCTGAGGGTGTGTGGGTGAGCATGGGGCCAAGGACCCGAGGTGGAGGATGGGCAGTGGGGATTTCTTGAAGGGCGCAGGGGAAGGGTGAGAGGGAGCCCAGAGGGCCTGAGGGAGAAAGACAGAGGGGCTGCCCAGTGAGGCAGGGTGGCCAGCTCCTCAGGCCTGACTTTGGCTTTTTCCTACAGAGATCTACCTTCAAGGCTGCTTCAAGCCTCTGGTCTCCATTTCTCCCAGCAGCAGGTAAGCGTCCCCAGCCACCCACCTGAGCTTCCTTGCCTGAGCAGTCCCCTTCCAGGTCAGCCCCTCAGTTCTGACCTCAGGGGCTCATCCCGTGGCAGACAAGGCAGTCTGGACATGCTGTCCTTCTGCAGGGGCTGGGGTGGGGGTTGTGTCTCCCCCAGACCCACTGCTCCCACCTCTGCAGCCTGTTCGAAGCCGTCTACACCCTCATCAAGAACCGGATCCACCGTCTGCCGGTCCTGGACCCGGTCTCAGGCGCCGTGCTCCACATCCTCACACACAAGCGACTGCTCAAGTTCCTGCACATCTTTGTGAGCCTGGGCACAGCCTCAGGGTGACCCGAGGGGCTGAGAAGTCATTGGCCCAGCAGACCGGGGAGGGAGCCGCTGGGAGCACTCTGGGGGCTGCTCCACCTTGACTGCCACCTGTCCCCAACCCACCCAGGGCTCCCTGCTGCCCCAGCCCTCCTTCCTCTCCCGCACCATCCAAGATCTGGGCATCGGCACATTCCGAGACTTGGCCGTGGTGCTGGACACGGCGCCCATCCTGACGGCCCTGGACATCTTTGTGGACCGGCGCGTGTCTGCGCTGCCTGTGGTCAACGAAGCTGGTACCTGCACCCAGAAGTGGGGCTGGCTGGGGTGGAGCCGTGGCAGGCAGGGGTCTGTGGGCGTCTGCTCGGGACCCAGGGTGGAGTTCGAAGTCTGCCTGCTTAAATCTTGGACCCTTACTTAGCCTCTCTGTGCCTCAGTTTCCTCATTTGTGAAATGGGAATCTTAATAACACCCATCCTCTGACTTCACAGGATGGTTTGAAAAGATTATGTGCAGTTAAGAAGCATGGTAAGAGGAAACCGAAGATGAGGTTTTTCATGGGAATTCACCCTAAAATGGGCCATGGGATCCAGCCAGACCTCACCTTCTTGCCTTGAAGAGAGGGATTAGAGGGACTACATGATCATTTCTTTGGTTGAACTGTGGCTGTAAACTGTTTCAAAGTCAAAATTGCTGTAATGAAGCTAGATACCAAAAAATGTTTTTTTATTTGTTTTTGTGTTTTGAATGTTTATTCGTTTTTTGAGAGACAGAGACAGAGCACAAGCAGGGGAGGGGCAGAGAGAGAGAGAGGGAGACACAGACCCTGAAGCAGGCTCCAGGCTCTGAGCTGTCAGCACAGAACGCAACGCGGGGCTCGAACCCACGAACGGCGAGATCGTGCTCTGAGCCAAAGTCGGACGCTTAACTGACTGAGCCACCCAGGTGTCCCAAGAAATGTTTTGATTTATTTTTCATTATGAAGAATTGCAAATGTATGAAAATGGTAGGACACACTGTATAATGAAAGCCACATATCCGTCACCTGGATTAACTATTGTTAACATGTTGCCATAACCAGGGTTTTTTTTTTTTTTCCCCTATTTTTTGCTAAAGTGATTTAAATGACAGAGATCATGTTATTTTATCCTTAACCCTTTAGTCTACATCTCTTAAAATCAGTATATGTCCTATATCACCTAACAAAACCAGAATAACTTACTAATATCATCGAATATCTGAATCTAATTCTCATTTCCTCGCCTTCCCTGAGAATATCTTTTTTACAGGTGGTTTGTACAAACCAGGATCCAGTTAAGGTCCATGCTTTACAATGCTTCTTTTGTCTTTAGTTTCTTTAATCCAGAACAGTTCCTTCCTCACTTAATTTTCATAGCACTATAATGACAATCCTGGGTCAGTGGTCCTATAGAATGTCCCCCCATCCAGATGTCTCTTTGCTTTCTACGGATGGCCTCAGTATTGTTCCTCTATTCCTGAGTTTCCTGTAAACTGGAAATTAGATCTAAAGGCTTGATCGGATTCAGGCTATCCATTTGAGGCTAGGATATTTCAGAGGTGACACTGTGTAGTCGAATTGCATCACATTGGGAGGCATGATTTCAGGCGTCTCCTCTCTGGCTGTGATGCTGTGTGATCTGTGGGTTTAGGTAGTGGCCCCCTGATGCCTGTTTTAAAGCCAGGGGGCGCCTGGGTAGCTCCACCAGTTAAGCTGACTTCGGCTCAGGTCATGATCTCCCGGTTCGTGGGTTTGAGCCCCGTGTCAGGCTCTCTGCTGTCAGCACAGAGCTCGCATCAGATCCTCTGTCCCCCTCTCTCTCTGCCCCTCCCCTGCTTGCACTCCCTCTCTGTCTCTCTCAAAATAAATAAATAACCTAAAAAAAAAAAAAAAAAAGCCTGCAGCCTGGGGAGGACAGGGAGATGTCCAGTAACTCTGAAAGCCTGCCTCCGGCCCTTGCACAGCATGCTGGTTCTGACATGAACCTCTTCCTTTTCTCTCACCACCTGGCCCCCCACCACCCCTGCAGGACAAGTCGTGGGCCTCTACTCCCGCTTCGATGTGATTGTAAGTGTCTGCGGGAATAGGGAACTGGGGTGCGGGAATAGGGAACCGGGAGGCTGTGGCTGTGAGAACCGATGGAGGGGTATCTGTAGCCCGGAAGGACCTTTAGAGGTGTGTAGAGGGCAAGTGGATAGGCGGAGCCTGGTTAAGGGGCTGACTGACATGGCACTTGCCTCCCTGCCTCAGCACCTGGCTGCCCAGCAAACCTACAACCACCTGGACATGAGTGTGGGCGAAGCCCTGAAGCAGAGGACACTGTGTCTGGAAGGAGTCCTTTCCTGCCAGCCCCATGAGAGCTTGGGGGAAGTCATCGACCGGATTGCCCGGGAGCAGGTACCTCGTGCCCCTTCATACATGCCCCCAGCACGTATGGCCCAGTCCCCATGAGCAGCTGCAGCTGTCCTTGGACACCGGACACCTGCCCTGTCCTCCCATTTTATGGCCATTTCAAGCTCTCAGTGTCCACACTGGTCTGCAACTGATCCTGCAACTGGAGATCTGTCCACACTGGTCTGCAACTGGTCCTGCTAAGGGCCACAGACAGCTGATCACCCCAGCGTGGTCAGAGCTACTTCTAACTGGTTTCTAGGAGATACTTTTCGGCTCCCCCACTTACGTCGTTGCCCCTGAGTCTTGGTGACAATCTCGTTGGTTACCATAGCTGCATGGCTCGAACCTCTCACTGATCCTCTGTGGACCCGCAGGTACACCGGCTGGTGCTAGTGGACGAGACCCAGCATCTCCTGGGCGTGGTGTCCCTCTCCGACATCCTTCAGGCACTGGTGCTCAGCCCTGCTGGCATCGATGCCCTCGGTGCCTGAGAATATCTGAGTCCTCACTCCCAGGCCGTCTTCCACACGCAGAAGCCAACGAAGGGAGCCAGGGAACACGGTCTCCATCTTTCCCCACCCCAGTTTGCTGGTTTGGCTGTGGTCCAGGTAGGCTCTGCCCTGGGCCATCAGCCTCAGCACCAGCCCATTGGTCTTCCTAGGCTCTCAGATCTCAGCCTGAGGCCCCCTGAGGATGGGGGTGCCCAGCTCACTGCTGAGCAGCCCCATGAAAACTACAAGTATCAGGACTCCCCGTGGGGCCCCCACTCTGTCCCATTCTCCACTGAGGTCATGAGGGTAGTCACAAGAGGGGTGGACAGGGGCTGGGGTCAAGGCAAGGGCAGTGATGTGATTTCAGATGCTCTGGGGAGTTTGACCTGCCTTCTCGCAACTCAGCTCCCACCTGCTGGGAATCCCACTGGAAGGAAGCAAGTTAATAAACCTTTGTTGAATGGAATTTCCACGCTCAGTCAGAACTACGGCTGAAAGGAGGGGGCTTCTATCTAAGTAATCATCTCAGTAAATCCGACATGATCTCAGACTCCTTCCTGGTACCGTGTTGGCTAGGGGCTGGCTCAGATTCCACCTGCTTGGCAGTGGATGGCAAGACGAGGTTCCCCTACGGAATCGCAACCTCTCCTGCCCACGTAGTCACTGTCTTGTCTTCTCTTTTCCTCACAGGCTTCACCAGCCCTCTGTCATTGCCCTTGCCCTGCCTGTGCTCCCAGAAGCCCTCAGGAATTCCCAGTCCTCCATGGGATGATGAAATTAAGAACAGCTGAGTCGAGCCTGGAGATCTATGAACCAGAAGCACTGAGATTACCCCAGGGCTGCCTGCTCCATGCCTACCCATATCACTTTCCCCCCACTGGCCCCAGTGGAGCGGCGAGCCCTCAGCCAGTTGGGTGTATTCAGGGGCTCTGGATTCCTCAGCTTCTGGACTACCTGGGAGGCCCTGCTATTCTTCCACACTACTAAGGGTGGCTCCCCACAACTTGGCCACTGCCCTTCTTCCCTCCCAGCATTGAAACAGCATGAAACAGCTTCCCTCCCAGCATTGAAACAGCTCTCCATGTGGAGAGCCTGTTGAGTGGGGTCCTCCCTCCATTCTCATCCCGAGCACCAGCAAACAGTGTTCTCAGTCCCCAGTGACAGCCTGTGTTTGGATCACTGAGGATGAGCACTGAGAGAACAAAAAGAAAAAGAACAACCAACCCGTGCACTTAAATTGTATAAGCTTCACTCCGAAAATGCTAGTCGTTTGGCCTGAACTTGCAGCAAGAGCCCTGTGCTTTCTGAATTCAAAGACGCGAGGGACAATCTGTAATTGACAAACGCTACCACTGGCCTTGCTTTTGTGCATAGAGTGTTAGTTTCTTTTTTCATTTTTTATTTATAACAAAACCATAAAGAAGATGTTAATTAGTTAATGACAGAGTAAGTGCAACTCAGTCCACAAACTCTAATCTGCTAGAGACAACTTTTTTTTTTTTAAACACTGAACGTAATTCCTACTATGGACCCCATTTCACCAGGTGGTAGAAATTAATCTCCGTTTGGGGTTCACCCACCACCTTTTCCTGGGGTTAAATTCGGTGAGAAGGGGAGGCTTTGAGTAGTGGAAGACTTTGTTCCTCACTTACCATCAACCACACTTGTCAGAACCTGCTAAAATATTCCCATTCCCATCTCTCTCTCACTTGGTCGGCCACTGGCGGGCATGGACCCTGCTAGGTGCTCCCTCAGTCCTTACCACAAAGCCTCCTTGGGCCTGCCTTCTCTTGGGGCAGGAAGACATTCTAGCTTCTGGACCTGCACCCCTCTGGGCTTCAGGACGCTGTGTGGTCCCAAGCACATCTGCTCAGGTGGACAGCAAGTGATCTGTTCTGCGCTGAGTTTTGCTGTGTGTGTGTGTGTGTGTGTGTGTGTGTGTGTGTGTTTAGCCCCTACCCTAGAAACATAGGGCACAGGGCTCTTCTTATCATCTCCTTATCATTTCCAAACCTCTCTGGGGTATTTATCATATTCACCTCCTCCCTTCAGACACAGCTCCCTTCTCAGGGGCCCCAGAAATGTCTACAGTCTCTTTGCCTCCCCACCCCCCACCAACCTATGGAATCTTCACCAGTGGGGCCTTTTTCTCTACCCCGTCATCCATTCTTCCCAGTCCACTGCATGTGTCTTGAGTTCTTGCCACCTGCCTTGAGGGTCAGGCTTTGGAAATTCCAAAGCCAAGGCCAGGCTTCGGTTATGCCATCCCTCCCCTGTGGCAGTGGACGCTGTCTGCTATCCAGTGGGGAGAGGAGAGGTTAATATTTCTAAAATATGATCCCACCACATTTACCTCACAGAGCAACAGAGTGGAGACATTTGTGCTTGATGAGTCAGGCAGTAAATGAAGGCATTTTCTCACAGACACTCAGCTTCTGTTTCCGACTTTGCCATAACCCATGGGTCAGTGCTGGTTCTGCTCTGGCCCTGCCTGGGAAGGTCCTGGGCCTTGGGCTCAAGTGGGAGGATGGGGGTGCTTCTCTGGGCCTGTCTCAAGTGACAACCTTGGGGAGCCTGGGGCAGGCTGCCTCCTGCTGCAGCCGACTGTAGGGAATGTGTAGCAGGGTCAGTCCTTTGAGGTGGTGTCCCAGGTTGCTCTGCGTGAGCAGACCGTCAGGTCAGCCCAGGCGTTCGGTGGAAAGGGCAGCCTGAGGAAATCACTCTCTCCCCCTCCTGCTCCCCCCCCCAAGAGTAGATAGGTCTCCAACCTCCTGGGCCCACCATCCTGAGGACCCAACAGTTACCCCTTGGGCCCTTCTCCCCAACCCTCAGTTCCTGACAGCCCTCCCGCATCATGGCTGCTAGAAAAGAGGCAAAGGGTTGCCATGGGGACTACTCCCGCCCCAACTCTGAATAAAAGTATGAAGGCCAGCCACTCTGCTGGCTCCTCTGTTCATACCTAGGAACCCGGGGCTGGCCAGATGGTGCAGGCATTGTTGCCTCCATGCCCCCGACTCCTGCCCTGACCCCCGAGGCCCCTCCGAGGTTCTGTGACCTCCAGGCCGGACCCTCATCCACCTCTCTCATCATCTCACATCACCTCAGCAGTTATCAACCCTGGCTGTGCCACAGGATCCCCAGGGGAGCTTTATAAGATGGTAATTCCAAGGTTCCGTTCCTAGAGAGATGCTCATTTCCTGACTTGGAGGGTGCGACCAGGGCAACTGTATTTTTTTGTAGAAACTAGAGGCTTGCGATGCATAACAGGTGATGGGCACGATAGCTTGCTGAGCAATACAGGCGCCTCATTTCCATAATTAGGAAAATCGTCTGTCGCCCTATGGCATCTATATTATTTGTTATGACCAAGATCTACAAGAAGAGCTGGCTGAAACCAGGGGCACAAGGTAGAAGATACACGATTTGCTGGCATTCTCGCTAGCCTTACAAACATGTGCAAATACAGAAGAATTCAGCACAGGGTTACGTTATGTCCATCCCCTGACGACAACTGTCAGAATTTGTATTGGACGTGCACCTTACATCTGGAATCACAAATAATGAGCTAGAACTGAACTAATATTAATGAGCCAAGATACATCAAGAGCTAAAACATCTGTAGAACACGAGCATGTAGACAGCCAGAAAATATTGGGTACTCGGTCTATTTTTACTCCTGGGAGTGCTGCATAAATGTTTAAGAAGACAAGCTGATGTCAAGGGGCACCTGCATGGCTCGGCCAGTTAAGCACCTGACTTGATTTCAGCTCAAGTCACGATCTCACGATCCATGAGATCTGTGCTTACGGCATGGAGCCTGCTTGGGATTCATTCCCTCTCTGTCTCTCTCTCTGTGTCTCTCTCTCTCAAAAATAAATAAACATTAAGAAGAAGAAGAAGAAGAAGAAGAAGAAGAAGAAGACAAGCTGATTCCTTAAAGTCTTACCCAAAAATATGGATTCTAATTGGATCCAACAAGTTCAAATTAGCTGGAAAGGGAGTAATGAGATGTGCACATTGTTTTTGGTCAAGAGCGTATCTCCTGTGCTGAATTAATGTCCACTTATCCGTAATTATCCTAATTCCTATTGTTCTTTCCTCGCAGTCAGGTCAGGGTGGATAATCGGGGAGCCTCACTGTGACAACACTTCCCTGTGACTTATGTGGGCAGCTCAGAGTCCTTGAGACCCCAGCCCCACCGTGGTCTGAAGGAGCAGACACTGGAAAAGGCAGAAGTTGCTGAGTGACCTGGTGACAGAAATCTCGCACCCCACCCCCTGCCCCGAGCCCGGCCCCCATTCTCTGCATTTATAGGGACCGCTCACAGGTGGATCCCTGTACAGGTAGTGGACAGCTATGCCCTCAGAGTCAGGAATTCCTCCCAGTTCTCTCCAGATCGCTCCATACAGAAAGCTCTGTATCCTCCCCTCTTCTTCCTTCCCCTGCCTACCATCCCAGCCTCTTCTCATTTAACATTTTTTAATCGCCTCCTAGGTGCTAGACACAGAGTTGCTCACTGGGCTCCAAACTGAAAGGAACTTGGTTTGTGCCCTCTGGTGGGTGCACAGCTGGTGGGGGAGACCGTGGGGTCTCCAACAAGGTGAACAGGTTGAGCGCTCAGTTCTCTCACGTGGGTGGGGAGGTGGGGAGAGCACAGAGGAAGTGCTTGTGCTCCCCCCAGAGAGGTCAGGGGAGGCTTTTCAAAGGCAGTGACATTTGAGCTGAGCCCTAAGGAAGGGCAAGTTCTCTGGGATGACGTGGCAGTTGGTGAAGAGACTGTTCCAAGAAGAGGGGACACGAAGAACCAAATATTGAGGCCAGAAAGAGCATAAAGTGCTAGGCAAATACAAGGAGCCGAGGTTCAGCTGTGGAAAGGGTGTCTGGGCAGGGAGTGGGGGTGGCGGGCAGGGTGCCAGAGTCTTCTAAGCCATGATAAGGACTTTGGACTTTGCTTCATGCCTGAGGGAAGCCTCTGAAGGATTTTAATAAGGGCAATGATATGACTTTCTTTATCCTCACAAACA